AATAGCGCCATCTATTGACACAAAAAACTAGGTCAGGTTAGTATATAGGTAAAGTAATATATTTAAAACTTATATTTTCGATCTTTTTGCCCAAGTTTTGCCCGCATAGGCAACAATGAAACACCCTATCACCGCCGCAGTTGATAATGAACGTGAAATCTCGTCAAGATAACGCCACCCTTACCCCCCACTGTTATCAGTAGATCGGGAGCTTCGTCGGGACCCCATTCACTAGCGCACACGTCATTTTTTATCTGTATAGAGTAACGAATGGAATACGGATGTGTGTTTATTCTGTGGTTTTAGAATTCAAGACTGCCGTCGCTTTGTTTGTGTGAAGTTGGCAAAAAAGATCTAACTAAAAATCTTAAAAATATTAATTATTGCCATGCCGTAAAGATTGTGTTATAATTAGCTGAATTTAAAAAATCATACATAAATGCAATAATTCAACTCAAGGTCAAGACCGTATATTAAGTTTGCATAACGAATAACAAAAAAAGCAATATTGTGTTTAAAAATAAACATGAAGCATCACTGTCTATGCGTTGTTACACTCGTTAAGCATTCACCGTCTATAAAAAGTTTCAACTATTATCATACAAGTCAATTCTAAACTGGTTTGACATTGACATCTGCTGTCAAAATAGGTAACGAGCCACACGCGGCGGGAATTTCAACTGAATGTCGTAATTCGCAGTTGTCAGTCGTGTCATTGAAAGAGATATTTTATCTGGTGACATAGATTAAATATGTAGATATGCATCTATAATGTTTAAATTATACGCAGTCACATAATAATAAACTGTGTGTATTTTATCTATAACAGTATTGGCCTAGGAGTTAAGGGGGCGACTCTCAAGGTGAGGTCGTGTGTTCAAACCTGGCTGAGCACAAATTGTTTGTACGATAAAGAAACATAAACATCAGGCATATCTGACACTTAAATGACGACGTGTACATGTGTTTTTGTCTTTTGTACAGAAGGCTGATGTAAAAAAAAATGAAGCAGGTGTAGAATTTTGAGACCAAAGGTTGTAATACCACATTGAAAGTATTACTAAATTAAACTCTTACCGAATTTTTTTACGTATTATTTCAACCAAAATTAGAATTATTAAATTATTCTAATCTACAAACGTGAATCTTAATCTTATGACAACAGCATCAACTGTGATCTGATATAAAAAAAACTTCCATTCAGGTGGTCATAGTATGCTAAAGATAAATAAAAATAATATTTTGCTAATCTATACTTAAAGCATGCAAAAATATCTATCATAAATATTTTTAATATAATATAAATAAGGTTAATGGTATGAAATACTTTCCAATAAGAAAAGTAATAAAAGCCTTTAAATAAACAAAAGCATGTAAACATTGAAATGCGTACACATTTTGTCGTCCACGCCGCCTGGCGGCAACTCGGCGACACTAGCGCACGCCAGCTCCAGCTGTTTCAGGTACCTTAGCCACAATAACATCACAAACGTCAAAATACACTTCAAATAACTTTTTTGAGAGCACAACTCGTTTTCGACGTCATTCTTTAGCCGCGTAAATTGAGTGACTGGCTTGGTTACGCGCCCCACCCCGCACACAGCAACAGACACTCACACAGGTCCGATCCCTTATCAGGTTGGTTTAACTAGCAATGGCTGCCCCGAGATCCTATCGCCTCCGAGCTCGCGGTAACGTTGCATTGAAAGATAACGTCAGCGATCCTATCGCGGTGTTTGAATAAACTTGTATAAAATGTCAAATAAAAAAGCTACCCACTGTAAAAGTATCTAGCCTGATTTGATAGTGACTTTGATATGGTATTTGCTATGTGCAATTTAAAAAAAATCCGTAGAATTTTGCGCTCTCTGATTTTTTTACTATTTTTCTTCACGAATGTGTGAGCTTTATTTCTTTGAAATAGAGTTTTGAGTTACGGCCCTAACAAAATATCACACAAGTAAATAATCATCAATAATTTATTGATACATATATGAATTTAATATTATTTCTTCGAGTAGTAACCTGATAGCTACCTGTTTCGTCTTTGTCTTAATTGATATTTTATGTAAAAAATGCAATTCTATTCTTGCACAGTATCAGATTTCTCTGTGCGAATGAATGATCAAGAACACGACAAATATGGACCAGTGAATGGGTTTAGCGGGAATCGAACGATCGGTGTTTCATCGATCTAATCGATACTCGACTATCGAGTTGGCAATTTGATTTATTGAAATCGATACATCATGAGAATGCACAGATCTGTGTTATACTTACGTTGGTCGATAACAAAAGTTTGTAACGTGAGGTATTCTGACTATAAACGGAATATTATCTTAATAGCTAATCGAACAGAAGAAATAGTAGGGGTGGAGATTGTATCGCTGTTGTTCTTAAATAAATTATTAAAATTTAAGTACGTATTTTTTCAAATAAATGTCGAAAAAATAAATATATATCACTTAAACATGTTTAATTTATAATAAGTGTATCATAGAAGTATATCATTTAATCAATAAAATATAGGCATTAATTTATTAAAAAAAAATAATTATGTGACGCCGGAACAGAAAGTGGAACAATTATTAAAAAAAAGAATATTAAACAATAATTTTATTTAGTAAGTACTTTATGTATATGGAATTCGTGATATGCGTAATAATGGAAACTCGCAAACAAGATAAATCATAACGATTTCTCGATAAGTTAAATCGATTATAGCTGTCAAAAACGTCAAGTTAAATAGATTATTATCAATGCGATAGAATATAAAATTACAGATAATTCTATATTTGGAAATGGTAACGCAACTGCGAGATTTTGATTTCCCCATAGATTTCGATGGTTCAAAATATTTTAAGTACCTACCTACCTAAAAACATAGGATGAATATACTACCTATACTTATCTATATTGTGAGAGTTAGAGAATATATGTATTTTTTAAGTAAATACTATAAAGACTGTTCCAAAACGTATTTCAAATTTTAAAAAAAATCTTTTATTTACGCAAAAGTTTGGTCCGGATTTAATAACATCGAATTTTTTACATGTTGGCAACAAATAGCACGCAATGCCATAATTTTACGTTGCATTGTTACAAAAAACATTAAATAGAGATGTGCTCATAAAGATGTAGAGATTACCACAAACGTTATGATGGCCAGATATGGTGCAGGTGGTTTCAGGCCAATCTGATAGACTATCACCCCATCTAGCGTGCAACACTCATTTAGTTTTTTTCTATATCTTACCCGGAATCTTTCTTGTGAAATCTTAGTTTTTAAATCCAAATTAATTATAACGCTCGGTTCTTTATTATATGAAAGTTGAAATTAAAATATTAGGATTTTCTTCTCACAATAAATAATTAATTAAAACATTTCAGAATGTATACAATTAAAACATACACAGAACACAAAATTAAATTGAATAATATAATATATAGGAGCAGTGTTGGCGGAGTGACTTGATCGCGACTCTGAGGTAATAGGTTCGAATCCCAGCTGTGCACCAATGGACTTCTGTCTATGTGCGCATTTAATACTCGCTCGTATATTGAAGAAGTCCAAAAAGTCAACGGTGTTTCAGGTACAGACTATGATCACGAAACAAATATCTGCATTTGTAGTTTTCTGAAACTAAGGCTAAGACCAAGGGTTGTACTTTTTTTATATTAATTAATTAATAAAACGTATTATTTACTTTAAAATTAAGCATTGCGCTACAACAACGTTATCAAATTTGATAATAAACTAAAAGCTTCCCAAATAACAGAAGCCGCCGCCATCTTTGAATTCCATATCAAACTTCAAATTCGTAAAGAAAGTGATACTCGTGGCGCCACCTACATCTACCAAAGATAAAATATCCCGGCATAAATCAAGGTGTACTCAAATTGATAAGCGAAGCCGAATGATAACGAATTAATAATATCGAACTAATGGATTCTTAATGTGGCGACGCGACAAATAATTATGTCTGTTTTGTACAGGTTTTCTTTTGTTTTAAGTTAAGCTTTAAGGGTTCATTTAAAAGCTAATTTATTTATTACGATAGCTATATTTATATGAATCATCATAATAAACTTTAGGTCCTCGTAGTGATAATGATGAATACATGGTGATTTTTACCCTATAAAATAAAGTTGCTTTGAGTTTTTGAGAATTATTGGCTTTATTTTTTGTATCAAGGTGTATTGTAAAATGCGCAAATTAAAGTGATAATTAAGATCCTATGTACCCCAGTTGAGGCAGAGGTCATCCAGCGCAGAAAACCAGCCTGATCGGTTCTGGGAGGCTCTCATAATTTCCTCCGCCTCTGCAATGATGCTTCGTTGTCAGGTCTTTTTTGGGTAGCCACATTTTTTTGAAATTTCAAGTCGAGTTCTTGCTTGGCAATGTGATTTGGATCCCTCCCGAGCGTATGGCCTACCCACTTCCACTTTCGGCGTTTTATAGACCTGTCAACTGGCAACCATTGCATAGCTGATGTTCAAAGGTTCTATCGGGCCAATTTAAAGTATTGTGTAGTAATAAGGATACAAGAAATCAAACCAACAGAAATCTACTAAATAAATAAGATATCTGTATATTCAAGGCTGTATTTATCGTTATATTCATAAATAAAATAAATAAATATTATTCGTTAACGTTCATTTATGGTCCGATTAAATAAAGAATTGAAATTCAATAAGGAATTTTTTTTTCCGCATATTTTCATATTTTTTCATTTTAACAATCATATGGAAGAAGAGAAGATAGAAGATATTAATCATACAGCGAGAAAACGCTGCCAGTGTTAAAGGTACACTGCCGCAGGTACCAAACTTTTAAAATTTGTTTTAATGTTCTTTTTATTAATTATTATTATTTATTTTAATTTTGTAATGTATTACGAGCACTTTTGCACAAGTCTTTTATGTTCATTTTTTGCCCGGAAAATTATCAGTATTTGTAGGTTTTTAAGTATTCTATGCGATAAAGCGATAATTTTCATCTATACATTGAACATTCTCACGTTCGTGATACGGAAATTCTTCCAATCAAAGATCGTATCAGCTGTCACACCTACCAATGATTTAATTATTATTGCAACCATGAAGCTATTCTGATCTTCCGAAGTTCTATAAACCCAATAACCAACGCGTGAGCTTCAGTTTGTAAATAATGTTAGTATACGTTGTAGTCATGTTTAATTAAGCTTCTAATACATTCACATTTAATGATAATTTATTCAAAGCGATTGGATCTTATCGTTAGGAATGTGGAAAGGAATTTATTGATAAATTTTATTTGGTCTTTGAAATATTGACGATAGACAAGTAGAATCATGAAATTGGCGCTTTGGTTATGAACAAGGCTGGCTTGATAAGGTCAGCGCAGACTCCGTTGGACTGGTCTTGCTCGCGGCAAAGGTGGCGTTCTTTAATTTTGTAGCTTTAGCAAGGTTCACTTTGTATCGCTGTGCCAAATGAATAAATAAGGTCAAGCACTAATACAAAGATAACTAATAAGGAAAATTAACGCTTTGATTAACCAAATTACGAGACTTAGTTGTTGCCAGTACTGACTATTTTTATTTAGAAAGAAATCTACCAATTTATTATATACGATATTATAATTTATTATATATGATATTTTAATGGATGGTTGCCATTTTTATTCATTTATTGTTGAAACGTTTCAAGTAACCTAAAGGCACGAAATATCAAAAAACTCACTAAGGTGCCTGATACACCACAGTACGCATTCAATTACTTAAAACTACAGACATAACGTAAATACAGCATTATGTATTATAAAATGTTTCATCGAATCTTGTAAATTATAAGTCAAGCAAGCCTTACTGAATTAAAATAAACAATTTGTTATTGCTTTTGATTGTGTGTTTTGACTTCACAACATATTTTGTGTTACATAAAAAGTTTTATTATCTGCCATGCAAAACTAGGCAATATAATATTATAATTTAATTATAACTGAATGAATCATCAAATACAATAGTAAACGGCACAATGCGAACGGAATGAGTTTTGCTGATACCATCTTTATCGGTGATGTGATACGATCAATAGATAGCTTATCCGGTACCAGAGCGCGGGAGGTTAAAAAATTTAAACCCTTTCTTCTTTGTTCTTCGGCAAGCCTCTGCGCCTGTGTGATGGTAAGACCTGTAAGGCCCTTTACTTGATCGGTCCAGCGAGTAGGGGATCGGCCTCGAGGTCTGGGGCCCTCCAAAATGCCAGACACGATAAGTTTTTCTAAACCTCCTGGATCTCTGCGTGTCTAATGTCTAACTTTAGGATGCGTTGGTAACAAACTGTCGAAAGAACTGTGTAACCGTCTAAGTATAGAACGTTTGTTTTTTTAGCTGTCCAGGGAATTCTCAGCATTCGCCTCAACACCACATTTCCAGAGCATCTATTTTTCTCCTTTCCAAAGTTCGTTTTCTCCAGGATTCAGTGCTATAAAAGAAAGTCGGAAATACCAGTCTCAACCAATTTCTATTATTATCTTTCTTATCTGTTTATAAGGAAATGTTAAACCCTTTAAGTGTAGTTAATAAAGTAATGTTCTAATCGTCCATTAAAACATCTTTAGATTTGACAAAATATGCAACTCAACAACGTTTTTCAGCATCCTTCACACCTCTACCAACGTTTCATAAGTTGACTTATGACTTTAAATTTTAGTCTCCGTCACTCTTTTTAATCACCTTTTTTTGAAAGATAAGGAGTAAGGAGATGTAACCATCAAAACCATGCTCCTCTCGATATCTTCAAGCAATCAATAAATTAGATATTATTTTTAATTAGTTATTCAAATATCTATCTATATAATATTTCCACAAGGATAACGTATTAGGTAAATTTAATATTGGAACAGACAATGCAGTTAAAAATACAGGACCCTACTGAATTCTTTACTGAGCATAAAAATATTTTGTTTCTTTTGGGCTCAAAATTAGGACAAACACAAGATACAACAAACCAATTGACGATGTGGGATGATGGGATAATATATATAATTGTACCATTCTTAAGAAGTCAATTTATAAATCGAATTAAATTTTTAATTGGAACATTACTCGACTGGACTTGACAATATTGTTGATTTTTGATAAGCAAAATCTAAAAAATTCTATCGAAACTGAGAGTACTCTTATCTTATCAGAGAGAATTTATTAGTAGAAAGTAGAGATAAAACAACCCGTTTCATTGGATCTTATGAAAGTTGCCAGTGATAGTGAAACTCACATGTGGGCTGATTGCAGCTCCGGCGGCAAATTATCATTTAACTCCCAGGCATTTTTAGGGCTAGGTACTTGCTTCAATATTATGTTACCAAAGCATAAACTACACAATTAAATAATTATTTTTAATTATTTTTATTATTACTATGTAGGAGAAAGAAAATTACTAAGAAACAAATAAACAATATACCTATACAAATATATAGGGAAGGTGGGGACCCTTCTACTTTTCACATTTTATTTTTAATTTTTTATTTTCCATAATCAATCATATAGTTAAATTTATAGTCTAATATTAATTCAAATAAAAAAATGACAAATGATTTATCCATGTTTCAACATAATTATGATTTAAATAAATTGAAAACTACGAATCTGCCATAAGGCACCTTCTACATGTTTGGGGTACCTCTTACCTTGGGTAGTTCAAAATTCATTTATTAAATGAAATTAAACAAAAAATAAAGATTTAATTTCTATTAAAAAAAATAAAATACTTTTCTTATTAAAAAAAATTTAATTAGTTAGGTATCTTAAATTTAGAATTACATTTTTATCTTTGGTTGGATTACAATTCTTATTTTGGTTGGAGTATAAATTTGGTTTTTGGCGTATTATTTTGCTTGTTTTATTATTCTTACAAATCGAATAGGGTCAGAAATCCTCTGGTTCAAAATATTCGAAGAATACTATTTGATGGATTGGTAAATTATTCAAGATTTTCACAAGATAAAATAACTTAGTCAAGATCTTAAAGTAGTGTAATATTAGAAAGTCAAAACTTAATTTGTATGAAAAAGAAGTTGCTAAAATTATTATAAAATTTAGTTGTAAATTTAAAATGTCCCCATCTATCTGTCAATGTACCCACTAATGAATAAAAAAATATAATTATTTTAATATTAATAGAAAATTATAAATTAAGTATTGGAGACGTATCTTAAGTATATTTTGCTAGTTACTGATAGAATACTTACAGAAAACTTATTTTATCTACTAAAAGAGATAAAAACATAGATCAAAATTACTTACGAGCCGAAAACAGTCTATGCCTTAACTTCACTCTATCTCGAATTTCAGAAATTGTTGATGTATAGTTGGTACCTCACTCATGAACATACAAAAGAAGACTGTACTTTATTTCGTTCAAGTTTTATTTTGACTGTATGAATGTGCCCCGCGTACGAAGGGTAACGATCTTCCCCTATATATTTATATATATATTTATTAATTGATTATAATACTACTCCGCGAACTTCGTTTCGCCTTAATATGATTTACTCAGCCTAGATACCTTCATCGTAGCTATAACATATGGAACATTTTGCAATGGTACCCCATAGACTTGGGGGTTTAGATATTTCCGTGACATTTTTCTCTCAATAAAAACAAGGAATAAATTAAAAACATTTACTCGAATTGGTCTAGCAGTCATCGAGTTTTGCGCTTAGCGACATATATGACATATTATATAAAAATAAAAAAAAATATTGCGATTTGACCGATCAGGGGAGACATACGACTTTCAGTATGTAAGATATTTTGCGATTCATTGTTTATAACGACAGATGACAATTTTACGATTAACATAGATAAACAGATAATTGTCTATAGACGTCATATATTTGATCTAAAAAATTTGACCCCCACGTCACACCGGTGTTTTTAACTATTGGTAAGTTAAAATGTTTATAAGCGACCGTTTTTATGTCTTTATTACGTGATACTTTAATTCATATAAACATTGTATATTGTATGCGTGACAGTTTTTGATGTAATTAGGTGAACTAAAAAGCGATCTACATCTAGGAACGGTCTAAAAAAGCTTCCAGCGTGCCTCTAGGCTGTTTAAGATTCTATTGAGTTCGAATCCTGCCTATACTCTTGATTTTTCTACTTAATCTTATACTGTTAAGGAAAACATCGTGAGAAAACTAACAAAACTGGCATATATTAGAAACACTACTTGCCTATAATCAAGTAAACTGATATTTGAGGCCAAAAGGCCACAAACCATGTCTATACAAGGCCTAAATTCGACTCCGTCATAACTGAGACGGTTCATATTGCATTGTGGGGCTAATTGGATGGAGATCGTTATCAGCTCCACTGATAAAATGGAATAGATAACATTCTGTAGTGACTTATTAAGGCTGTTCCCAGAATAATATTAGATTGTATGATACCGTGTGTGCAGTGGCAGCAAAAAAATCACACCACGAGATTAATTAGGTGTTTCGTAGCAAGATTGTTATCTAGAATTTGATTAGTATTTTTTAAATGTTTAATCTTTTTGATATATTCATCTAAATGCTAATTACTACATATTAACAATTAAAAAAATTCGTTGATATTCTGTAACAAATTTATATAAAATAGCAGGTTATAAGGAAAATATGCATGACTTAGATTTAAAATCTAAAATGCGTAATTTTTTTTCTGCTAACGCTACTTAACCATATCAAAGATCTGTACAACGTATCGCGTTGTGTAGTTTTTGCGAAATTGGTCGCTCGATCGCTTTCAACCCAGCCTTCCTTGAACCCTACGACAGATACTCAATCTAGGACACAAATTGCCTTGAGAATTAAACCCTCCCTCTTCATTTAGAAAATATAGACTCTGTGTTTATTAATAATTTGATTCAATGTTCTATCTGTATTTATAGAACAGGGGAGAAACGTACAAAAGACTCACCTGATGTTAAGTGATACCATCGCAATGGAAACTCTCAATGCCAGAAGGCTCGCGAGTGCGTTGCCGGGTTTTTAAAAATTGGTACGCTCTTTTCTTAAACGATTCTTACTCCACACAAGTCGTCGCATAGAAAAAAAATCTAGTTGCATCAGCATGCGTCTCTGATCCCTGAGATCGTAGGTTCGATACCCAATGCACCAATGGACTTGTCTATGTGCGCATCTAACACTCGCTCGTACGATGAAGGAAAATATCGTGAGGAAACCGACATGTCTCAAGGTCGATTTACATCAAACGAGCGAATTCATTCTATCCCCACTACATCAAATTCTTCTAGTGTAAACAGGCGTAGAGATTCTTTCGTTGTTCTTAGTGCGTTCCAAAGATTCTATAGAATATTCTAATAGCCCATTACATTCGCGTACGAGTCGCGAGGCGGGGACGAGGCGAGGGGCGGGTGAGAGTGAACAGACGCTCGTGGCTCGCCTCGTCCCTCGCCTCGTCCCTCCGGCGCTCGCGTCGGAGCGGTTTTTGGGGCACGAGTCAAAGGACCTCGCGTCGACGCGAGTGGGTGTTTACATTCGCCCTCCGCTTTATTCTGGCTTCTACATCGTGCCGCGAGGTTGTGTTTAGTTTTAAATACGCAAAAACAAAAAGTAATCGTATAAAGGATTGGTCCAAGACAAACATTTAAGTTCATAGAACAATTTCAAAAAGAACGAATAATTTGGGACCCTAAACATAAATGCACAAAACAGCCAAAAACGATCATGGGGAGATTGTCAAATAATGGAAGATTCAAAAATTAAAAAAAAAATCTCTCATGTACATTCCCAGTATGAATCAGTAAGGTCCAGGAGAAGATGATATTTACAAGCCATTGGTTGTATTACATGCTATGGAAACATTTTTGGCATCCATTACGAGTGTAACACCACAGTGAGCACTGAAGAAAGACAAGTAAGTAAAATAAAACTAAGTACATATTTGTTTAGTTAGGTTTATTCAAGTAATTAGTCAGTTCAAGTAATTAGTCATCTTCAATAAATCATATCAAGTAGGTATAGACAGATGAGCTAGTCGGTAGATGGGCTAGTATATCGTTACTTAAAGTATGGATGAAACTTTGCGATGATCATATATCCACCATTTCTTGGGCGCCACCGCCGTTTCTTTACTACTTTCCTTTTATTTAAATTAGTGACTAGCAGTATAAGCCCAGTACGCACAAACTTGTTGCTGCTAAAACTTCGACGTCCTCCATTGTTGCTAGCTCAAAGACGACTGAACTCGGCACGCGAGTGTAAACAGGCAACTCATTACATCGATCACCGAGCCTCGCACGAGGACGAGGCGAGCCACGAGGCGAGGACGAAGCGCGAGTGTAAATCCTATAAGAATCCTCGTTCGCTTGATGTAAACGGCGCAAGAGCGCGCGAACAG